AGGAAATGGAAAACAAAAACTGCATAGGATCATAGATTTCCCAGACCTGGATATATTAAATCCACAGGGCGGAAACATGTAATGTTTTTTTTTTAATGCTGAATGAATGTTTCCTTGAATCTTTGGGAGGGAAAAATGCTAAAAGATGTATTTCCATCATAAGAAAGCCTCTAACCAATGCTTGACTACCATACTGTTTTCTCAACAAAAAAAAAAGGGAGGGGAGGGGAAATATAATGCTAAATATTCCCAGAGGTCTATTATGAAAAAAACCCCACATATATTACTTTGGTTCTTTTATCAACTTTGTGGGGAAACTTCATTTCCAGTTACAAACCAGTTAGGAAACTGGAGTAGGAACATGGAGAGAAGTCACATTAGCCATGAAAGCTCACTAAGTGAGTTTGGGACACTTACTATCACGCTCAGCCCAACCAACAAGCTATGGTTGAGGCCGTGAGGATAAGTCTGGTAAAAGTGTGTTTGCTACACTGTATTGACCTTCCGGAAGAAAGGTGGACTAACTATAACAAACAAGATGATGTGATACATTCAGAGTTACCGCAATGAATAAGATCTGTTGAGAACTATTTTGTAGATGGAAAAATGCACGTAGGTCTATCTGAACTGCTATCTATCCAGTCTCCAGGTTATAGTGAATCCAAATTATTTTAGAATGGGGATGCTACCACTAGGATTTCCTTAGGCCTAACCATAACCATGATTATTCTGCTAAGAGGAGAGATAGAAAGCAGGAGAGTATGTAACCCCTGCTCCCATGGATCAGGTCAATTGTCTCTCTATTACACATCTCAAGGAAGGCAATACCTGTCACAAGTGATGACACTGTCTAATGACAGGGCCAAAAGATACCAAAGATCAGGTAAGCAGGCACAGATCTACAAGTTGTAAGTTGGTGTGACTACCTTAAGCAAAGATTTGCTACTGGCTTGAATGTCCAGTAATGGCTTCCAAGAATCCGGCAACCGCGATAAGACTCTTAATGCACTTTTTTTTTGAGAGAGAGAGAAAAAATGGTGCATTGAATTATCTCTTGGCAGACAAAAATAAACCCCCAAGATGCAGCTCTAGTAAAATAAACAAACCTTAGTTACTGTAATTGCTGCCTTGGTTGCCAGGATTTTAAGAGGCACTACCCAGGAGGCATTGGCATGGCAATCTTTAATTATGGCACCTCCCACGTAGAATGAACCAAGTGTCTATCTTGCTCCTGATTAGCGTTTTGCCCCCCACAAAATACTTTTCTGAAAAAACAATGGGAAAATAGGGGATGGGCTGAGGAGTATATCACTTCTTCTACTAGGCTGCAACCATTCTTTCATCAATTGATGTCCACTCAGCAACCACAGAAAAGTTCCTGACTTGCCTTCTCTGCAATTAATCAAAATAATCCTTTGGGGAGTAACTTTGTGGGACAGCAGAAGATAAAGAACAGGGATACCTTCACAGTTTATAGAAAGGAGCAGAACTTATACCAGTTTGTTGGTGTCTCTGTATGGGCATTATGTAAATTGGCTCAAAATTAGACCTTGGTCTCATCTTGATCTCACCTGTCTTTCTATGTCCCCTTTGTCCATGCAGTCTAATTCAAAAATTGATACAATAAGGGATTGCTTAGGATAATGCATGAGATCTCATTGCCACAGCCAACTCCCTCCAAATAACATTTCTAGATACTATATTTTTCCTTCTCCTCCAGTTAAAAAACATACTTCTAGTATGTACAAATAAACAATAAACTCAGAAAACTCTTATTTAGCAAAAAGAGAATGGTTTATGTTTAGCGGTGTCACTGCTGGGATTGTTGTTCTCAAGTTTTTGTTTTAGCACACAATGAACCATGTGTATAAATCTGTATGTATACTTTGTTATATCAACTACGGGTCAATTTTGCTACAGATTTGTTTCTCTTTACTCCACCGTTGCTGCTTAGAAGAATGATCTAGAACAGCAGCTTGGGCTATGCTTTAGGTATCATAGTAAACCCCTAAAATCAAGCTTTAATTAAACAAGTTTATAAATGAGAAATTATTTGGGACTGCCTAATGATTAACAAATGGATTATTTAGTATATTTTAATTTATAAATTGTAAAATAAATACTTTTTAAAATAGTGTGCAATTATGAATTGTTAACATATTTAAAAAAAAAGAAAACAAAAGAAAACAAAACAAAAAGGAGGATATAAAGCTCTTTCTGCAAATTCTGCTTAGTATTTCTCACTTATCCCAGGGGCATAGAATCTTATCTTTTTATAGACTGTTTTTAATACTAGAGTGTTTACAGATGAAAGCAGAAGATGTAGGGCAAGTAATAGAGAGCAATACTTAGAATCTACATAATACTCAAGTTCAGTTATTCCTAAAATACAGTCATGAAATACGCAACAAATTAGGAAACTCAAAGCTTTCCTCAAACCACCTCAAAAAGATCTGGAAGCTGAGGTAAGGAGCATTTTTAAAGCAATGGACAAAGCAAAATTTCTGGAGGGCCGAACGCTTCATAATGAGAGTGCCACAAAAAGGGTCATTGTTCCAAAGTGAACCCTCCTCCAGAGATCTCAGAGGAAAAATTGGAACATGTGACCCCACAATACATTTAGGGCAGAGGTGGGCTGCTGCCAGTTTGGATGAACTGGTAGTTGCGACCCGCATTATCCCGTCCTATATCGCCATGTTCTTAAAGCCGCATGCATGTGTGGAAGGTCCATGCATGAGCAAAGTGAGCGGGCACACGTGTGCGCCCACATTTTTGGTGCTGGGCGAACTGGTTGTTACAACTGGCAGCAGCCCACCACTGATTTAGGGCCTAATAAATCAATATCTGTATTGTAAAGCAACTTTGAAACAAATAGGTAATCAGTCCAATTTATGGACAATAGGCTTCATTCATGTTACTTGAGTATACTTCAAGTGATAAAGCCGTTAAGCAGCAACAAATTGACTGGTTAGTCCTAGGGCAGTGATGGCTAATCTTTTTGCCACGTGCGTGACCACACCCATAATTCTATGCAAAAACGGGCCGTTTTTGGCCTCCGGAGGGCCTCCTGGGGGGGTGGGGAAGGCCGTTTTTGTCCTCCCCAAACTCTTAGAGAGGCTGGGGACAGTAACAAATGGGCCTTCTGGTCCCACCGGAAGTTGGCAAACAGGCCATTTCTGGCCTCTGGGGGGGCCTCTGGGGGGTGGGGAAGGCTGTTTTTCATCCTTCCCAGACTCTTAGAGAGGCTGGGGACAGTAACAAATGGGCCTTCTGGTCCCACCGGAAGTTGGCAAACAGGCCATTTCTGGCCTCTGGGGGGGCCTCTGGGGGGAGTGGGGAAGGCTGTTTTCATCCTTCCCAGACTGGCAGCAGCCCACCACTGATTTAGGACCTAATAAATCAATATCTGTACTGTAAAGCAACTTTGAAAGGGGAGTGGGGAAGGCTGTTTTCATCCTTCCCAGACTCTTAGAGATACTCTGCAGGCTGGGGACAGCAAAAAACAGGCCTTCCCCACCACCCCCCGAGGCCCTACAGAGGCAGGAAACAGCCTGTTTCCCTACTTCTGGTGGGCCCAGAAGCCCCGAAAATGAGCTCGCGTGGCCACTGATATGGCTACGTGTGCCACCTGTGGCATGCGTGCCATAGGTTCACCATCATGGTCTTAGGGCAACCTCGCATAATAGATTCTTCCATAGTCAGATAATAATATGAACTATTGAAGAAATAGTTAATAGAATGGCAGCTGCTATGGAAATACTGCTGCATATCAAGTATGTTCCAAACTTGTATTTTGAATTAAGTAATTTTGAATTTGAATTGTCCTGTTGTCAATGGAGATTCTCAATCATCCAGGTCATGGTTGTCCCAAAGGTGCTTTTCCAAAAGGCAGCTGGATTTTCTTGGCTTTTTCCTTGAAACCGTTTTGCTTCTCATTCAAGAATTCAGAACTGAAGAAGCTTCTTGGATGAGAAGCAAAACATTTTCAAAGAAAAAGCCAAGAAAATCCAGTTGCCTTCTGGAAAAGCACTTCTTGGACAATTGTCCTGTTATTTTTAATCCTATGTGGAGATAGCCATTTTTAACTTCATTGGTATAATTTTAGGGCAATTTATAACATTTTTTTTGTTTCCTTGGTTTGATTAACTGTGGGTCTCCGAAGCCTTAAAACTTGGACAAAAAGTATAGGCCAGCTTGTAGTTCTGGTACTGAAGGTCAATTTCCAGTCTTCTAGGATTTTTGCATGCTTCTGACATTTGGGAGAGTTATCTACAAATCTTTATTTTGCAGATAAACGTTTTCAGCATCATAGCCATAAGAATAAGACCTACCCTAAGAACAACATTAAACGGGGGGGGGGGGGGGGGAAAGGCAAGAGTTGACAAAATTCAGCCTATAAACAAGAGCTTCAATTAAGGTGTAATCTCAGCTTCCCAGCAGGGGTGATCCAGCAACAAGGAACTAACCCCAAGCAACAATTTAAATCCCATCAGCTGTGACAATGTGTCTTTCATTTCTCTTCTGCAGAACCATGGTGTTTCTCTTGACTGGCGTGAATTAATCTGGTTGGTCTCCTCAATGTCCTGGTGAAGCGAAAGTGCCTCGCAGCTGGGACACAACCCACAAAGCCACAGGCAGCCTTATTTACCCAACCAGTTCTCCAGTTGTTCCCAACGAAGGAAGCACATCCCTGTCAACCTGGAGAGCTAATGCATCTTGTACACAACCAATAACATTTTGACCATAAATATGCTTGCATATGGCCATTATTTGACATTACATATTTCACTAATATAAACTTAATATTGTTTAGTCACTTCCTAATGTATCTCTTCAACATCGTGCCAAATGTTAAAGTTTTCTGCAGAGTAGAGGCATACCATAGAAAGGGATTTTTAGTGATTCAATTAACCCTTTACACATGAAGAATGAGGAAAACAATTTCAGGACTACAGAAGATCTACTGTAGTAACATTTGAAAATCATTAATCTTTACTTACCACGTTACTGCATGTTCTATATCTAATATTCCGTCCTTCACAGCTCCTACATCCACAAAAAGGGGGGAAAAAGCACATATCACATACTAACCAGCAGAATGTTCCTAGTTGCTCAAGTAAAGGTCATCTCCATCTACCATTTACTAGTCATTTACATGGAATTCATCGTTCCAACTATTGAATCTTGTTACATGCATTTTTGCCACCATATATTTGTATGGGAGCAAAAGTACACATTCCACACTTCCACAGAAGCAATTTCTCTTGTTCTCTTGTTAAAACTTTTGTGCCTGCAAAATTGCATGGCAAGCATCAAGAAGAGAATACAATTTCCTAATTATAGTAAATTGTCCATAGGGTTTGCTATCCTTGTCTATTGTAGACAAGGTTCTCTTTACTTTAATAGGCTAACTTCTATTAATGTTATAACCATCTTCTTGATCTTCTTCAGATGTATGTGGTATTGTTTCCTATTCATTGGGCCAGGAAGCAGTTAAGAAAATAGTTACAAGAAAATTTAGCACAGGAGTTGTTGACAATCACCTATAGACATTCACTAAGTATTCATTAAAAAGTTTGGATATTGACATGACATAGATTTTTTTTATCCGCATGGTGACATTAATTGTGAAGTTGCTAAATCTCGCATGTCCAGTTATATTCAAACTAGGAGTACACAAAATAGCTAAACAGTGATGACCATAATATTACCATATAGTTAAATATATTTTTCATTGGGCAATGCCTTGGAAAGAAAAAAATACATTTGAACCAGCACTCTGAATTAACAAGCAATTTGATAGTCACATAGAATCATATCAACAGGCAAAGAGAAAAGGCCATTAGTATAGTCATTTTTCAAAAAAATAGAAAAGGCTGTTGCATTCAAAGGAGAAAACTTTGGTTTGTTGAAGGCTGTATTCCTTTAGGGTACCTGTATTTCATTATAATTAGAGCTATGGTGGCGCAGTAGTTAGAATGCAGTACTGTAGGCTACTTCTGCTGACTGCCGATTGCAGTCAGTTTGGCAGTTCAAATCTCACCAGGCTCAAGGTTGACTCGGTCTTCCATCCTTCAGAGTTTGGTTAATATGAAGACCCAGATTGTTGGGGGCAATATGCTGACTCTGTAAACTGCTTAGAAAGGGCTGTAAAGCACTGTGAAACACTATATACGTTTAAATGCTATTGCTAAGTGCTATTTTTTAAAATCAATATTAAAAATTAAAATCCGTAACACTGCTGGATATGCTTCACAGTCTATCATAATATCTACCAATAACATTGTATATTTACTCATTACTTACATTTCTTTAAGTTTCAGTTTTCTGATGAAAATTCCATAAATTAGGCTAGAATTTTTTCTATCTTAGTACAGTTTGGCCCAAACAATGTCACACAAAGAGAAACAGTGAATTAAGTTGTGTTTCCCCAAATGAACCCATTTAATCAGATTCCTTGGAGATGCCTGGGGACATTGTTCCCTACAATCTAACTGCTTGTTTACTCAGTTTGTAGAAAATGTACTATCTATATATTTATATTTTTAAAATGTATACTGACATACAAATTATAGCCATATGTTTAGATATTAATGCCACATTACATATCATCGTGGTTGCTGCAAACAATTTTTTTCACTGATCATAAACCATCATCCCTATTTCTTTTTCTTTTTTTTTAAATTGCAGACTTTTTAAAAAATAAACCATGTTTTCTGTTGCATTTGTAACTGAATAGTGTAAGGCTACTTTTAACAATGCTTAAAAGAAGCTTTCCATAGCATGTGACGGAAATCCAACTAATATGTCCTCAACAGTCCTCAACCTATGACCACAATTCAGCCCAACATTTCTGTTGTTAAGTGAGACATTTGTTAAGGGAGTTTTGTCGCATTTTACGGCCTTTCTTGCCACAGTTATTAAGTGAATCACTGCAGTTGATAAGTTAGTCACACGGTTGTTAAGTGAATCTGGCTTCCCCTTTGATTTTGCTTGTCAAAAGTTTGCAAAAGGTGATCACATGACCTTGGGATACAACAACGGTCATAAGTATGAACCAGTTGCCAAGCACTGAATTTTGATCACGTGATCATGGGGCCTGCTACAAAGGTCACAAGTATGAAAAGTGGTCTTAAGTCACTTTTTTCAGTGCCGTTGTAACTTTGAACAGACACTAAATGAATTGTTTTAAGTCGAGGGCTACCTGTATAATAACAGAGGGAGGCAGACAGACAACTCATATGGCTACAACTGGGCCAGCAGCTGGGGGAAAGAACCAGGTCTTTAGGACCTCCTTAAAACAATGAGATGAACAATTTTGGAGGGGATGGGCCTCATTTTCATAAAGTAGATACAGTAGTATTGCAGACAAGTACAGGTATCAGAAAGAAGAAGGAGGCGGATGATAACCAAACCCAGAGAATGAAGGATTTTATAAGTACCACCAGTCCCTTGAATTGCACACACAGCCTCACTGGTAACCAGCGCTGCTCAGGAAGCAATGACGTTACATACTTGTAATAAGGTTCACCATAATTATTTGCGCTATGACACTCTGGACCAGCTTTAGCTTCCAAGTACTCTTGAAGGGCAACTCAATATATATAGTGCATTGTTTCACATTAATCCAGGACAGAGGTAAGTAAGGCATGAGTGACTTAGTTATTTTAGTCATGCAAACTGTTATAATTTTTATACACTAAATGCCTTCTTTATACACAGGAATCAAACAGAAAGTAATTATGCTGAATAATAAGCATAAAATGCTTTTCAAAACAGGCAATAATAAAAATAAAGAACCCAAGTTATATGAACATATATGTAAAGTGGTCTTATTTCTTTCATCCAGCTGGGGTAATCTGGACAAGAAAGATTGTATCATTTCAATGACTATAGACTCACAACCCTAAATCTGGGCCGTCATCTGCTGTGAACTGTATCTATTATGTGGGAGCAGGAGTTGAAGCAAGTTATTCATCTGATCTTTCTCCTGATGTTTTAGTCATCAGCTTGCTTTGCTGCAGACTTTAACTTAATTGTTGTGTGAATGACTTTTATTGCTTAGGGTAATTCCACACCATCAACGTTCTCTGACACTGCAGTTTGAAATTCACCTGAGATTGTCTACATTTTTACTGATTTTGAAATACAGAAAAAACACAGGGAACATGCCAGCCAACACTCATACTCTTTCTGTCCACTGTCCAATAGAAACAGGCAAAGAACACTATCCGGTTTCCCAGCCCAGGCCTGACAGCTTCCACTGGTTATGGCTAAACAACAACAACAACAAAATTCTTACTATGCGCAACACACAAAAAGGAATTAAAACAAATCATTATGACCACTACCCCGTGTTTTTCAATACTGAAATGCATTTTTTTTTTGGTTGCTTGCAAAAATATCTCAAAGGTTGCTATGAATGGCAACTATATAAATTAAGGTCACTTAAGTGTGTGTGTGTGTGTGTGTGTGTGTGTGTGTGTGTGTAAACAAAAGCACTGAAATCTAACAAGGTCCAAGCTAACTTGTCATCATTCGTCAGCTGAATTAAAGATGCCAATAGGTTCTGTGAACTGTCAGCGTTCCAAATTATGATCTCTTTCAGCGCTGACATGAAATCATGAAGGACACAGAAAGACCTGCTTTAATGCTGGGATGAACTTTCACCTAGTTCCTGGCTCTTCAGCAGATAGCATTACTTGGGAAACAGAGGGAGGGGTGAAATTCCTGTGAAAAGGAAGTGCATGGGACGAAGAGATGGATCTGCATGGTGGCCAATGAGACATTGGGGTTGAAGGACGGAAAGGGAGGGGTTTGGAAGGAGGTGCCAATCTTGGCTGCAAAAGAGTTCAGGCATGTCGGTTTTTCTATCCTTAAATAAAAGAGATTCATTAGGGACTTTGCATTTGAGAATGAAGTTTATTTAAGATAGCAACGAAACCTGACATGAACATAACAGAATGGTAAGTTAGCCATTTTACAACTGTGCATTTTTCCTTAAAGAAGTATTATTATTATTATTATTATTATTATTATTATTATTATTATTATTATTATTATATCATATTTCTATGCCGCCCACTCTCCAAGACTCTGGGCGGCTTACAACAATCGACAGTATACTAAATAGCATATTGCCCCCAACAGTCTGGGTCCTCATTTTACCCACCTCGGAAGGATGGAAGACTGAGTCAACCTTGAGCCAGTGAGATTTGATCTGCTGATCTGCTGAACTAGCAGTCAGCTGAAGTAGCTGCAGTACAGCACTCTAACCACTGCGCCACCTCAGCTCTTATCCAGAAGTAGTATCCGGAATTGCTATGGAGGCTGAATCGGCAAAAGGGAGATGAAAGGTTCTAATCAAAAATTCTAATTCAGGAGGATTCTGAAAGAGGACATTGAGAGACACACACAGAGAGGGAGGGAGGGAGGGAGGGAGGGAGGGAGGGAGAGAGAGACCCTATAAAGGCCAAATTGAGCCTAGGAGTTGAATAAGGCAAGAATTCCTAACAATAGGGAAATGGACCACAGGGCCATGACAGTTCAACATAAATAATTTTTATAGAATTTGCAAGAAATGTGGAAAAGAGACAAAATAATAAGTCAACATAGCTTCCCAACTTGATAATCAGGTCCTGATATGATCATGAATGAATACACATTAGTATATGTGGATCTTTTTAAAAAATCAGTTCCCAACTTTGCATTTTATATTATATATGCACCTTTTCCCCAATCAACGTTAATCCAGAAAGGTTGGGGAATATTACTATTTGAGTTGGAATGCTGGCTTCCAACAGGTACACAAATGATTCTGCCAATTTTTTAAAAGTCAGACTGATGTTCTTCTGTGGTAAAACAAGTTTATATGTTGTATGTCCTGCACAGCCTTGAGTTTAGCCCCTAGAGAGACATTCAAAATTTGTTACCCAATTGTTTGTGATTGGCCAAACACTTAAAATTCAATAAGGGCAATTTGAAAACATACTGTACAAAAAACCCTGAGATTTTAAAAGACCCTACTGAAAATAAAACTGGAGACT